TGTACTTATTACCTTGACTATTAGACTTTTGTAATTGTGACATATTTACTACTGTGTGACTTTGAAACATTATTTAATTACTTCATATCTCAGTTTACTAATCTATAAAAAGATAAATCTTATTATAGGACTTCTGTAGAATTTTTCAGCTTTAAGATATCATGATTTTAAATATACGTCCCTGACATGTTTCCATTTTTTAATGCATCTATACGATGTTTTGTGGGGTATGTACGTGTATGAATAAATTAATCTCCTGCTTTATTAAGCCAACTGTTATTTTTCAGAACCCAAGTATTTTATGGTGAATGTTAGTGTTGATATCTACAATGTAGCTTAATAGGCTTTGCTAAAACACGTTAATTCAATAATATGCCTATTCAAATTCGTACCCCAAACTATTCATTTTGGACATTTTACTTTTGTGGTTTAAAACTTGTGAATTTGCTTTTGTCCTGTGGATTTACTTATTGTTTGTCTGTATTACTTTTCATTTCAAAAAAGTTTAGTGAGGACATCCTGTGTGAATTTAACTTATCAAAAAGAATTAAGGTAAAGTAAGCAAAAAAGTTAAATCATAATGCGCTTAATTCATAGCTAATATGTATTTTATTTTGTTTATAATATCTAGATCATTTTTCACTTCTAGCATTACATTTTAGTAATCATTATTTGAATTATTAATCTCTTACTTTGAATTAACTTTGTTTCAGTAGATATATTTTAAACTAGGAAGTGCTCAACATTTCATAAAGTTTGTTTGGTGAACATCTACCTCTATTTCTAAAAGTTATGTGGGCAGGAGGGCATTATTCCATTTGTGAGCTTTAGTTTACCCTCAATCTGTTCCCAGAGACCCTCTTAATTGGGTCTGTGGGACACTGTCCCTAACGCACCAGGAGTTTCTCCATTCCACAGATCTCTCCCTCCAACTTTAAATTGCTATGGGAATTGGGGAGCAATTACAATAACTGTTGCATAACAAGTATTTACTCTTCTACATCTGTAGAATCTGGCGTCTCGTTGAACCTGACCTTAATTCAGAATGCTGACATAAATACTAGTAAAAAGTACTTGGTTCTTCTAGGAGGTGGACATAATTTATCACTATAAAGTAAGTCTTGAATCATATGAAACTTATAATTAAACTCAATCTATAAGTAAAGATACTATTCAATATGCATTTTAATTTGAATACTTAGAAACAATATAGGTTTCAATTTATTATCACCAAAATACAGCTGTGAATTATTAGTATTATTTAATTACTACTTGTGTTATGTTCATTAATCTTTAAAGCAATTTTCTTACACCATATATATATTTTAGAATATTCAACAAGTAAAGTAATGCAGGTATCTTAATCACTATTTTACAAATAAGAAGACTGAGGCTATAAATTGCAGACAAAGAACTTCAAACCAAAGACTATGATTCTAGTGTTAGGCATTTTTCCACTATGCTATGGCAATGTCATATATATTTAGATAAGTGTTAGGTGATTCTTACAGTATATAAACTTCCTTCCTTCCTTCCTTCCTTCCTTCCTTCCTTCCTTCCTTCCTTTCTTCCTTCCTTCCTTCCTTCCTTACTTCCTTCCTTCCCTCCCTTCTTCCCTCCCTCCCTCTTTCCCTTCCTCCCTCCTTTTCTTATTTCCCTTCCTCTCTCTCTCTCCCTTCCACCCTTCCTCTCTTTCTCCCATCTTCCCTTCTGTCTTTCCTCCCTGCCCTCTTTCCCCACTTCTCTCTCTCTCTGTGTCTTCCTTAAAGCTAAATAATAATAAAAGTTAACAATCTATTGTGGACTCAGTTTTTTTTTTATATTTAAGACTGAGATTGTATTTTCTCTTCTTTACCTTTTTCTTCAAAGTTTAAGTTTTTCTATTGGGTATCCTTAACTAAATTTTTCCTGTAGTGAAGATTCTGTTGAGTTGGATTTCTGACTCCTCATAATATCTGCTCTATACAAAATTTCCCAGTGACTGTCATTTGACCAACAGTCACAGTGTGGGGAAGAGTGGATGTGCTAAAATTCTCAAGATAGTTAGCCCATGCAGACCTAAACTTGTGATTTTCACCATCAAATCTAGTAGTGATTATGGAAAGATCAATTTTCATGACTAGTCTGTAATTAGTGACAAATCCACTCATCTAAATGCTTTAATTCTCTGAGTTATAGGGAATTATGAGGTCAAATTTAGAGAACTGCTAAAGTCAAATGGGCTGGGCACTTACCCATGCTCTGCATTTTCTAATGATGGACCTCTTTTTCACCAGAAGAATTGTCAGTTTTTCTGCCTGATTTTAGAGCCTTTCTCTATGCACCTGTCAGACTTTGTTTCTCAGATGTGCTTCCCACCACTCTCACAGAAACTCCCATGTGCTGCCAGTCGGCTTACTCCTAACTTTGGTCCACTGTCTCACTATGAGTTATCCCGTTTCTCTTTTAACCCTGTCTAATTCTTTTCTATACTTCCAGGTTCAGCTGAAGACTGAAATTCCAGAGTTCTCTCCTTTGCCTCATTTATTTGTCATAAAATTCTTCCTTCTGGGAAAAACTGTAATTTTTGCTTAAGCTGTAGAAAGTGTCTGTAATATATTTTCATATGTTCTTTTCTTATATCCCTACCTAAATTATGAACTTTGTAATGACAGATACTTTTAATATGCTGTTTTTTAAAAAAAATGTGTTTCAATAAGATTTTTAAAGAGTATTTAACAATATGATGTCAATCTGGAGTTTCTGTAAAACATCAAATAATTATGCTCTTGAAATTTTCCAGGTTCTTATTGGCGATCTACATGATAAGGCAAAATAAAATTAGCTTGAATTAGAATCATCTAGATAATTGGCCAACTCATTATAGACTAAGCCTTCCTATTCAAGTGCTTTTGGAACCAGTGGCATAAGTGTCACCTGGGTACCTGCAAGAAATGCAGAATCTCAGGACCCTCCCTGAACACTAAGAGAGAATCTGAAGGTTTTTAAGATTCCCAGATACTTTACATGTATATGAAAATTACTGAAGGCATGAACTAACTAGAATTGGTGTAAAAAAATAATAGCTTTACATTCCATTTTATTATTGACTAGCTAGCTAATCTTGGCCAAGTTCTATATTCCATAGTTGAAAAATTGGGTTAACGTAAAGAATATTAAAATTTGTAAATCATAAAGTGGGATATATATATATATATATATACATATTTATATGAAGTATTTAAATGTTGTTACTGTTTTTATCAGTATCAAGACAGACTCTTGAGCTACAGCTATAGAGTAAAATGTGTAAAGAGACTATATAGTGTTCTCCAAAGACTATCACATTCATGCAGAGCTGGTCTGTGCAATAATCTTTTCATAGGAACAGTCATACAAGATACTATGAGATCAACAACTAACTATGCCTTTAAACAGTTGTCAAATTTCAGGATACATGATTCAATGTATTATTATTAAATGTCTGTAAAATACACAATTAAGCTGACTATAAGGTATAGTATCAGGCCTAGAAAAAATATAAACACACAAAAACATCAAAGTTGCTGTGAAATTTTAACCACTTTAAAAATTGCTAATCGCTGAATTAAAATTTCAGTCTTTGTTGAGTAGTCCTTTGCCCTCTTTACTACTTATTTACTGGGGTTGATGAAATGAAGATGGTAGGCTTAGAGCTGCTGATTGGCCAGGGGTTTTAGCAACCTCAGCTCAGGAGAGTGTCCTCAATTCAGGAACATGTCCTCAACGGCAGAAAAGGTTAATTCTTCATGTGTGTTTGATCATAGGTAGATTTTTCACATATTAGTGATGGGGTATAGGTATTTCCATGTCCTTGTATTCTGGTCACACACAATATTGAAGATAACTGGATGTCAGAACTTCAAGCAAGCACTTCTTCTAATATGAGCTAAAAGAATGATTGTTCAGGTAATTTGTACTGTTTGTTTCTTGGCAGTAAATATATTTTCTGTTAGATCTTCTTTTGATTTCCTGAAAGTGGATGACATTGATGAGATTAATCAGACACTTTTATCAGAATTTATTCTTCAAGGTCTCTCTGGATACCCAAAGATTGAGATTGTTTACTTTGCTCTGATTCTAGTAATGTACCTAGTGATTCTCATTGGCAATGGTGTTCTGATCATAGCAAGCATCTTTGATTCTCATCTTCACACACCCATGTACTTCTTTCTGGGAAACCTCTCTTTCCTGGATATCTGCTATACATCCTCCTCTGTTCCCTCAACATTGGTGAGCTTAATCTCAAAGAAAAGAAACATTTCCTTCTCTGGATGTGCAGTGCAGATGTTCTTTGGGTTTGCAATGGGGTCAACAGAATGTTTGCTTCTTGGCATGATGGCATTTGATCGTTATGTGGCCATCTGTAACCCGCTGAGATACCCCATCGTCATGAGCAAAGTGGCATATGTACTGATGGCTTCTGTGTCCTGGCTCTCCGGTGGAATCAATTCAGTTGTGCAAACATCACTTGCCATGAGACTGCCTTTTTGTGGGAATAAAATTATCAATCATTTCACATGTGAAATATTAGCTGTCCTCAAGCTAGCTTGTGCTGATATATCCCTCAATATTATCACCATGGTAATATCAAATATGGCCTTCCTGGTTCTTCCACTGATGGTCATTTTTTTCTCCTATATGCTCATCCTCTACACCATCTTGAAAATGAACTCAGCCACAGGAAGACGCAAGGCATTTTCTACCTGCTCAGCTCACCTGACTGTGGTAATCATATTTTATGGTACCATCATCTTTATGTATGCAAAACCAAAGTCTCAAGACCTGATTGGGGAAGAAAAATTGCAAGCATCAGACAAGCTCATTTCTCTGTTTTATGGGGTAGTGACCCCCATGCTCAATCCTGTAATCTATAGCTTGAGAAATAAGGATGTAAAAGCTGCTATAAAATATCTGCTGAACCCCAAACCAATTCACTAAGAAACCCAGGAAATACACATGTTTGTTTAACAAGCACAAAGATGGACTCATGGGTAAATCAGTGAGAACCTTTTTTGGAGAAACCATGGTTAGAGAGACAGATGTTTATCCTTTGCCTTCACTAGCACTGCTCAGCTAGAATCACTGAGAACTGTAGTTTGCTACAAACTCCAACATGCTCTGATACAGATTTCACAAATATAATTAATTCTTTTAGAATCTCATCCCTGGTGATGTCTGAAATGAGGGTTTCTGTAGAGAAGCATAGTGGAAAACAGTTGCGCTATAAGCTGTGGAAATAGAGAGGCAGTAGTACAAAATCTTCAGTTCCATAAACTACCTAGGTGATATTGGAGATTCTTTCTTTCTAATCCATAGTTATCATACTTGTAATAAGAAAATAATTTTTAAAATCCAGGTCTCAGTATCATTTAAAGTTTCAATAAGTTGGAGGGGGTACATAGCATAATATTGGCTTCACAGTGTCCTAGAATTTCAGAATTGAAGCTAAGACTCCATAGTGAGGACTAAAAGTTGCTATTTATCCCTCCTTTTACTCTCAGTTAATAATTACTAGAGCCAGATATCTCTCACTAAAAGTCACCTCATTAGTATATCATTAATATAATATTTTTTAAAATTTTTAAATTCAATATTTTCTAAAATTCTTAAAAAACAAAAAGAATTAGAAAAATTGTTGTCACCATGGTCACCTCCCAAAGATACCATTCCAATGTTTCTCTTAGTAAGTAGGAGTCATACATTCATCATGTTTTTATTTTGATTTATTAGATCTACTATGAGCACTTGGAGTTAATTTTTTTCAATGTCCAACACATGTTTTCGCAGGACAAATTCTAAGACATGAAATGAATAGGGCAGGTGGTATAAACTTTTAAAGTTCCTGGCTAAATTACCATTAGAAATATCATATTACTACCTGGAATCAACCCAAATGCCCATTGATGAGAGACAGGATTGGGAAAATGTGTCACATATACACCATGGAATATTTTTGCAGCAATCAGAAATGATGAGTTTGTGTCGTTTGTAGGGACATGGATGAATCTGGAGAACATCATTCTCAGCAAACTGACACAAGAACAGAAAATGAAACACTGCATATTCTCACTCATAGGCGGGTGTTGAAAAATGAGAACACATGGACACAGAGAGGGGAGTACTAAACACTGGGGTCTATTGGGGGGAAAAGGGGAGGGCTAGTGGGAGGGGGAGGTGGGTAGGGATAGCCTGGGGAGAAATGCCAAATGTGGGTGAAGGGGAGAAAGCAAACAAAACACACTGCCATGTGTGTACCTATGCAACTGTATTGCATGCTCTGCACATGTACCCCAAAACCTAAAATGCAATAAAAAAAATATCATATTACTACCCTAAATACCATTATATGTTTCCCCCAATATGTTTGCAGCTCTGTTTAAATACATACACATACACACATGTATCTCTATTTATATACACACACATTTATATATATGATATGTATGTTTTTCCTTTAGAACTTTTTAAAAACATTTTCATTTTCAAATATTTAACAAAAGAATGAGAACAATTTAATAAAACTCATTGTGCTAATTTACAGCTTAAATAATTACACATGATCAACCTTCTTTCGTCATTATCCATACCCACTTATCTTCTTCCTTTAGAATACATTGAAGCAAATTCTGGACATAATTACATTATGTTATATATTATGTAATTATATCCAGGAGATGTGTGTGTGTGTACATATCTAAATGAGACAAATCCAGTGGCCCCCATTCATATTGTAGTCTATGAGAATGCATTTCCAGGAACACAAATTGTGATATGAGTTAAGAATGAAGAATTCCTCCAATTAAGAATGAGACAGTGCTGGTGAGGACTGTGAACCATGAAAAGGGGGCGTGAGTCATATAAAATACATTATTTCTCACTTCAGTGGGTTGTTGCTGTAAGATAATTCAGGATGTTTATTAACTGATTTTCTAAATTTCAAGAGAAGCCTGGTCATCATATTGAGACCATGTCTCTACAAAATATTAAAAATTAACCAGGCATGATGGTGCACAACTGTGGTCCCAGGTACTTGGGAGGCTGAGATGGAAGGATTGCTTAAGCCCAGGAGTCCAAGGCTGCAGTGAGCTGTGATTGTGCCACTGCACTAAAGCCCAGGTGACAGAGCAAGATCCCATCTGTTAAAAAGAAACAAAAAAAATTTCAAGAGAGGCCAGATTTTTAAATTAAACATAAATTAAATTTACATGGGTTGCTGTTTTCACAGAAAACATGTGATTCCAGAATGTGTACTCATATAAGGCTTTAACAGAGACACGGGACATGGTCCTGCAGGAGGAAGAAATTTCGGTCCACAAAGGAGAGTTCTAAAAACATCAGTCATACTTTCTAGGCCACTTTTGAGAAACTGTCTTTCAGAACAATTCAATCAATGTTGGATTATACACTAAATACGTTGTCATTAACTGCTTATTGCTTAAATAGAGTTTGAGTGTATATTTTGAACCCCAAATGTTGATCTTCCCAGGTTAGTGTCATACCGTAGTAGTCATACCCGAATGCATTTTAGAGTATGCCAAAGAGCTTCTCATGGGCTCCTTTCATAGCTACAAATATTTCTCCTTTCCTTCACTTTTAATTTATTTTATCTAGATTATCCTCCCTGGAGTAAGACTGTTAGGTTCAGCTAGAGAACTAACCCATAACGTTGGCAGCAATGTAAATATGGTCAGGGATTCCCCTTTATCAATTCTGTTATATTGGACTTGGATTGGATAACTGCAAGCATATAGGCCTGCATCATCCAACAGGTAAAAAAAAAAGAGAAAAACCATTAATTCTACTTTAAAAGGTGAAAAGAGAATGAACCATGTTATCATTCCTTAGGAGTATGGGTAGTAGTGATATTTAGATGTATTGTCATGGTGTCATGGTCAGCAAATAATCTTCTAGAACTCATAAATGCAAAGAATGTCCCACCAACACAGAAGCAGGCAAATAAAAAGTGTTAGAAATAGAGAAGTGTCTTTGAGTACCTGTACCATCCCCACTGTCTTCTCTATCTTCTATAGTAACTCAGCAATACATCCAATGGTGATCTCCCTTTAATGTCATGTATAGCAAGTCTTAACAGATATTCATTCAGTTCTGAAACACATCCCTTTAGTCCTTGTTACTCTCCAATTTTGTAAGCAGGGGATTCAGTTGTTCAATTTTCATTTGTCTGTGTTTTGTGAATGGGAATGGATATAAATCTATTTATGATGCTTTGTTACTCAATGCCAAATTTTAGAGTTCTACATGGATACAGGGAGGGGAGCACTACACACTGGGGTGTGTTGGGGGGAAATAGGAGAGGGACGGTGTGGGGTGGGGAGTTGGGGAGAGATAGCATGGGGGAGAAAAGCCAGATATAGGTGAAGGGGAGGAAGGCAACAAATCACACCACCATGTGTGTACCTATGCAACTATCTTGCATGTTCTTCACATGTACCCCAAAACCTAAGATGCAATAAAAAAAATTTTAAGGTTCTTTAATTAGATGACCAACATCCAAATTATAATAATACATTTGCTCTTGGCCTATACTAGTGGTGGAAGTAGTATTTGCTTTATTTGTGACATATGCAACCGTAAATTCAGAATAAGTGTCTATCTCAGTCAAGATTCACTGTTATCCACCTGGAAACCAGATAATGGACCAGTATAACCCATTTGCCAGCTATGGCTTCTCCTGGATCCTTTCTGCAGGCAACTTATAACTGCCATTCATCTCTGAGTTTTCTGCTGAGAAGCAGATCAATTTTTATGTCTATTTTCTGCTCTTGAGGGAGACAATGGGATGCATGTTTTCACACTTTGTTGCGTTGCTTGAATGCCTCTGTGGCCTCTTGTCCATAGAGGCCACTAGAGGCCACTTCCAAAAAGAGAATAAAGGCTCCCCTTTGTTGATTCTAGTGCTTTTCTGAATTCAGAAGGGAAGTTCTACAATAGATATAGGTAAGTTTCACTCCAATAATCTCTCTTCAGGTTAATAAAATATCTTACTACTCACTTTATCTTCCAGGCATATGAGGCCTATATGTTCAGACTATTTCATTAGCTTGTCTAAGAATTGGTAAAAATTCATATGGTATCATTATTGTCATTATCTGGTTCTTCTGAAGAGTGAGTGTTCTGAATTCTTTCTAGGCCAAATGCTAACAGAGACTTTGGAACAGTATTTCATCACTTTTACCTCAGTTTATTCATCTATAGAAAGAGAAGTCTTACTAAATAATTTTTGCAGCATTTTCTGGCTCTAGACCTCTATGATCTTAATATTAGAAAACCCTTGACATATCTATTTGTATTTTATGTACACATACCATGGTTTATGGTGTGTGTTTTGGGGGGAGCTGTGCTTGTATATGTGTGTGTTTATGTCTGTGTGCATACATACATACAATTTTGCTTTTTGAGTAAATTGTTATTGATCAGATTTCAAGTATTGTGTGGGAAATAAGACATCTATTAGAAAATTACAGTCAGAATCTAAGTGTTAATATCTAAAATGTAGCTTCATAGACTTTGCTAAGACACTTTAATTCAGTGATGTTCTTTCTTCCCAATAATGCCCCAAACTATCCATTCTGGATTTGTTTTTCACTTTTCTGGCCTTAAACATATAGAGTTGTTTTTGTCCCATGGATCTATTTATTTTATTGCTTATCTGTATTTCTTTTCATTTCAAAAATGCTTGAAAATGGCATGCTGCATAAAATTAATTTTTCCAAAAGAATAAACATAAGTAAGCAAAAAGTTAAATAACAATGCATTTAATTCATAGGTAGTCTCCATTTTATTTCATTCATAACATCTAGGTCATTTTTCAATTCTAGCATTTCATTTTAGTAAACATTATTTGAATTATTAAGCTCATACTTTGAATTAACTTTGGTAGATATATTTTAAACTAGGAAGCTCTCACATTTTATAAAGTTTGTTTGGTGAACATCTGTCCCTGCTCCTAGAAGTTATGTGGGCAGGAGAG